AGGTGCGTGATATGCAGGGTTAGCGGACCACGGAGAGAGAGATTCCCACCCAGTTTGCCTAAAAATTGGAACCTGTGGCAAAGTGGCTGAGTTTGTGCGCTCCCTGCTCCCTGTGTATCACCGTGCATGCAGCAGGCGTTCACAGCTGGTGGCAATGGCTGCAGGAGCGCAGTGTCAGTGGGAGTTCGAGAATATTCATCTAGCCAATGTGTCCAACTGACCATTTGGGGGGCTTTTCGTTTCAACCAACACTTATAATGGGAAATGGCGTGTAGTGATGTGACACTTTAGATGACTAAAGCCCCTGGCAGGCAGAAGTGTTGAGGAATACACGTAGGGGGTCCCTATGGAACCGAGCACTGTGCCTCACGTCGGGAAGAAGCCAAGAATTATTGCTGATGCGTGAGAGGGCCTCCCGCTGTGTAGGGACACACAGTCTTGGACGGCCCCTGAGGACATGCCGGATGGTTCATCTCGGGGTCCATCTTTCATTCGTCACCTCCCCACCCACTAAAAATACACGGAATCTGCCTTTCCTCCCTCCCTGGGTCCAAAGGGCCTGAATTCTCTTAGCCAACCAGAGACTCTGGAAAGGCTACAGCAGCTAACCATGGAAGAGCGTTACCATTTCCCACGTCTCCACCAGAGCGAGGGTCCAGAGCAAATGCTGAAGCCAACAGCTGGCTCCCAGACTCGATGGGACCGGTTGCAAGCTTTCCCTCTACCCGATTCCAAACCCTCCCCCTGCCTGCCTCTGACCATTCAGAGTCATGAGCTAGAGCCCCCACAGGGCAGGATGATGTGGATAGAGAGAAGTTTCCAGAACGGGACCCTCTTTGCCAACTTCTTCCTCCCTATCATTTTCCCAGGGAACCCCTGAACTCATTCTAGCAAGGGACACAGGACTGGGGTGTTTTGGGCACCAAGAAGGAGCTGAGGTCTTAAGACCTTGTGTCTTGTCCCCCAGTCCCCCTTTTCCAGGGCTCTGCCCTTGGACTGGGCCATCTCGACTCGCATCCCAGGCAGGTAGGTTATCTGTCACTGGGCTCAGGATGGGGAGAGATCCTGGCTGCTTCCACTGGAGTTTTCTCCAGGCCCCTCTTCCACTCCACCCTGCATCATGGCCAGGACTCCAGGAGGTAAAGGTTTCATCCCAATCAGCGGGGCGTCCTGCCTCCAGGATCAGGCCACACTACCTAGTCTGTGCACTCTGGTGCCTCCAGCAACACAACCCCCATCCTGAGAGAGGAGTTCCCTCTGACACTAGCTTCTCTATGTGTGTCTCTGTTCCAGAGTCTTTGTCCCCAAGAGTGCAGAGTCCCCCAGGGACCTTCAGAGAGCCCACATCCTCTCTTCCCTTTTGGCCCAGAGGTCCCTGCCCCAAGGCTCAGAGTGCTGGAGTTAGGGTCCCTGTGTGCCTGGTTGTCACATTCTGTGCACTTCTGGTGCCCCTTCCAGAGCTCTCCAGATCTCCGCCTCTCTTCCTGTGAACCATCAAAAGATCAATGCTTCTCACCCAACGTAGGGCCCCAGATTCTGTCCTTCCACCCATGCGTCTATTACTGTCCAGGAGCAAGCCTCCACTTCCCTTTTCCACCGGGAACTGCAGCCCTTTTTCCAGGAGCCCTGTCCAGACCCTTGCTGAGCTCCAGGCTCGCTCGCGTGCTTCCTCTACTCCCGCGCGCGTCCCAGCTCCTCCATCCCATCCCCTCTCCCAGCCACCGCTGAGGACAGGGAGCCTCCCAAGTAAACACCCTAGCCCATCAAGGGGCTCACCACCACCGTTCTTGTAGCAGAGGTAGGGGAAGCGCCACACGTTGGCGAGGTCCACCGCGAAGCCTATCACCGACAGCAGGAAGTCGATCTTCTTGCCCCAGGTCTCCCGGGGCTGCTCGTCGCCAGCGCGGGACGCCAGGAGACACTGAACGCCGTTGCGCTCTTTCACCACCAGCAGCTCCGCGGCTTTGCGCCCTTGCATGGGCTGCTCGGACCCCAGGTCCGCCCCGCTGCTCTCGGGCTGCACCTGCGGCTTCATCCGCGCCAAAAGCATGGGTGCGGTTGGCGAGGGGAACGTCAGCGGTACTGGGAGCACGCCGAGGCTCTGCGCGGATGAAAGGAAAAGATGCGGTCACTAGGCCATCCCGCCCTGCTTGCCCCTCCTGAGACCTCCTGGGAGCGCGGAGACACAGAGGCCAGAGCACACTGGGCGGACGCGGGGTTCTCCAAAACGAGAGCGCGTCTGTTGGGGAAAAAATTGAAACAGTGGGAGTGGTGCGAGGAGCTGAGACGGTACTGAGAGGTGGAGACTGACCCTGTCCGCCCCGTGGGTCCGGCGCAGGACCCCGCAGCGCTTCCCTCATTCGCCCGCTCCCTCTCGCCCCCAAATGGTGGGGCTGGGACACGCGGAGGCTGAGGTTTCCCACAGGCGGGGACCCTACCAGTGCCGTTTGCTGCTCCCTGTCCCCCAGCTCGGATGGGTGCCGCCTCCAGCAGCCCCAGGAGCCTCCCCGGACACTCACCTTTCTGCACGTCAAACTCGCGGGCGCTCTCGCTCTGCGCACGCAGCCGGGGCCTCCCCGGAACACCTCGGCCGGGCGGCGCGCAGGGCTCACTCACGTGTCCGGCAGCGCCGCGATCCCGGGTGCCCCGCCTGGCCGCCGCGGGCTGTGGGGCGCGGGCCGGGGCTGGGCTCCGCCGCGTGGCGCTCGGGCGCGCGGCCCGGGTAGCGCGGGAGGCACGGGGCGGCCGGCGGGGCGCGGGCTGGCTGGTTCTGGCCGCGCCGGGCGGGGGCCGGGCTGGTAATGTAGCCTGCGCCCCAGGTAACGCGCCGATTGCATTAAGCCCGCGCGGAGCCCGCTCCGTCTGGAGCCTGTTAGCGCTAATGCGGACTGACAGCGCGGCCGGGCTGGGCAGGGGCGGGGGCGCGGCGCGGGCTCGGGGGGCGACTCGGGGACCCGGGCGCCCGCTGTCTTCCCAGCACGCACCCGCGCGCCAGACACAGCTCCCAAGGGTACCGGGCTCTGACTTCCCAAAACGGAAAGAGAGCGAGACGCCCAGAACTGGGGTCAGAGTTGCATCTGAGAGGGGCCCGGGAAAAGACCAGGGAGAGCAAATGACCCAAGTCGGTGCCAGCTCCGTCATCTGCCACAGGCCACTTAAACTACCCTGCGGAGTTTCTCCATCAACAAAGTGGGCATGTTCTGCTCGGTGCCTACCTAGGTCGGCAAACCTGCTGGGGGCCCCTTGGCTGGCTGGAGGCTGGAAGGTCACACCCCAGCCCTGACCTCTGTTTGTTACACAGATTTGCAGGTGTGACTCCTGTTCCATGAGGCTGCGAACTTTACTAATTTACCCACACGTCCATATGCCTGCTATGTGCCAGCCACCGCTCTAGGCTCTTAGGAGACTTTCTGCACAACTTACAGAAAAATCCCTGGCAGGGTCGACTTTGCATTCCGTCCTGCAGGAAAACAAGAAGCATAATAAATAAACACATTGTAGGGTGTGTGGGATGGGGATATGCGCAAAGAGAAAAGTGAGCCTGGGAAGGTGTTGCGGGTGGTGTGTTGGGGGGAAAGGGGAAGGTAGTTTGGTCAGGGAATTTGAGAAGGCGGCATTTAAGCAAGTAAAGGAGTAAGCCATTTGGCCTGGTATTCATGCATTTCTTCACTTGTTTGTCTGTTGGTTAATTTCTTCATTCATCAAATGATCACCTGCTGTGTGCGGAAACAGTGCTGGCTCCTGGAGCCATGGAGATAGTTCTGCCTTCAAAGAGCTAGCAGTCCCCTGTGTAAAGAGTCCATCACAACCCACTGTGGTCAGGATTGGTTGCAACTACAGGGCTGAATCAGCAGGTAAAGGATGGGGGTGGAGAAGTAATCCAAGAAGGCATCACGGAGGTGACAACAGGAAAGGAGATGGGCAGAAATTTTGACAAACCCAGACATGCTGACCTTTTTGTTCTTTAAACAGTCCAAGCTCAAACCCGCCCCAGGACCTTGACACTTGCTGGTTCCTCTGCCTGAGTTGTTCAGATCTTAGTTTAGTGGTCCTTTTCTGATCACTCAAATCTAAAATACACCCCCACTGTGTAACACATCACCCTATTTTATTCCCTTCACTACACCAGTATACAAATGCATTTATTTGTTTATTATATGTCTCCTCTTGGAGTAGTGTATGAGCTCTGTGAGTGCAGGGACCCTGACTGTCCTAAACATCTCTGTGTTCCTAACACCTGGAACATACTAAGGCACCAATTAGTAGGGACACTGAATGCATTCATGCTGGTGCATGGGGGCATTGAGAGCATTTTTGCCAGAAGGACCAGCATGACAAATATCTTCTGTGAAAGATATAGAGAAGAAGGGAAAATTAGTGGATAGTGAGTCTGCCCTGGCCTTCTGGGGACTGATGAGGAGAGGTAGAAGTCAAGGGAAGGATTGGGCTAAGTTTCAGGAGAGCCTGGAGCCATGGATTCCCATCCATCAAGGTTGTCAATTTCCTTTGACCGACCCCCCCACCCGCCCCCGGGCTATTTTGACAAGCCTGTAAGAGAGCAGAAATGAAATCATCTTTCCATTTTTCAGGTCAGGGAACCGTGGCTCTGAGGATTCAGGGGACCTGCATGAGGTCCCACAGGTTGGAAATGACAAAGTTGAAATGAGAACCCAGGTCTCCCAGCTCCCAGCTCCTGCCCCTTCCACCAATTGGCGAGTCAAGACACTCAGAATCTCTAGGGATCATGATTCCCTCCTCTGCTTTGACCCCACCCAGCTGGTCCCAAGTCTCCCACCTCTGAACACCGCAGGAAGCCCCAGCCTTCTCTGCCGCCCCCGACCCCCACCATCGCAGTATCCCCACCCCTCACTGCAACAACTTTCCTCTCACGTCCAGTATCTTTCCAGCCACGTGATAGTCACCAGCTGCCAGAGCTCTTTCTAAAACTCCAGACTGATCACCTCACTCTTTGGCCTCCTCTTCTGTCTCCCCCAAGAGACAACACACCGACGTGATTTCATTAACCCTGGATTTAAGGTAATTTTATTTTCTTCTTTATACTTCTCTTTATCGTCCAACTTGTCTACAATGAGCATTTGATATTATACAATCAGAAAAAGATAAAGCACAATTTCTTAAAATCCTCTGATCTTTTCAGGATAATATCTAAACACCTTTAGCAGTGCGGACAAGATTCTGCCTGTCTATTCAATCACATCTCTTGCTATTCTAATTCTCTCCTCATTCTCCCTACAAACCCTTTACTTGATACAAAAATATACTTTGTTCTCTAGCAACATGGGAGATACTCAACAACTAGCGGTATCCTCGATATCTTGTGCATTTTCACATCTCTGGATTTTTAACTATGCTGTCTCCATAGTCTGCTTGTCTACCCGGAGAACTCCTATTCATCCTTCAAAACCTCAGATGTCACCTCCACTGTAAAACTCCCTGATAACCACCACCTCCCCACCTCCTTCTTCTTTATACTGCTTTGTATATTTGTCTAGTACAGTTACCTATGTGATTTCCCTTCTAGGGACAAGGACAGAACCCAGTATATCCTGTCACATAGCTTGTGCTCTAGAAATGTGTACAAAACAGAGCTAGAACAGATCTCAGTCATTGGCTGGGTTTGCTGTCTTTGGTTGGGGTTGTTAATGTTGAATTCCTCCGGAAGCAGAATCTGAAACAAAGATTCGAATTCAAGTAGTTTATTTAGGAGGTAATTCCTGGAGGAATTATATAGGAGTGGGGCGGGAGGCAAGAAAAGAAAAGGAACCAGCAGAGGGGATACGAAGGAGCAGTTACAGCTGTGGGCAGTTGGTGTTCAGCCCTGCCGGGGACCTCTGGGAGACTGCATAGAGCCTGCCTCTGTTGTCCCACTCCTGGGCAAGGAGGTTAGAATATTTATCCATTAAGTCTGTGCCGGGGGTGCTAACTTGCCAGCATTTCCAGCCTGCCTGGTGTGTGGGCTGAACATGCTCCCGTTGCCAGGAAAAGGCTTCTAGCAGCATCCCAGGTACTGGCAATAGGAAGCTGGTGGTGGGGCCTGCATTGGCAGGAACAGTGTGGGCGGGGCATTGGAAGTGTCTGCTGCAGGGATGGAGGGAGGCATCCCCCAACTCCTGCACGCCATCAGAGTGCCAATCAGCAAGCCCCGAGAGTTCTGCCGGGTGCTTTCCGGGACTTCTGGGGAACAGCAGTGGAAACACCAGGCTGGGCCTGGATTGAAGGGCACGGCATCTCCCTCCCTTTCTGGCTCCAAGAGCCATGGGGCCATGTGGCTTCTCTCCATACCCTGCATTCTGCCCTTCCAGGTGGCCTGAGGGCAAGTGGGTGGGCAGACGGCTGGAGCATTATCAGAGCTAACTTGATCTCTGGGGAGGCGTCACTTCCACTTACCATGGCACTTGGTGACACAGGCCATGGGCACAAGGTGATGGCTGGTGCTGTCAGTCCAGCTCTGGACGTCTCCTGGCCGACGCCAAGACCCTGACACACAAAGGATACGCTGGGGGACATTTGGAATCCAAAGGGCTGGGTACCGACGGTGTCTTGAGGATACTATCTGAATGTGCTTTGTTGCCCTGATGGGGGAACTAAGGTCAGAGAAGAAGAGAGGTTTGTCTATAGATTTCTTCCCTCCCTCCCTTCCTCCCTTCCTCCCTCCCTCTCTTCCTCCCTCCCCTTGTTCTTTCCTTTTCTTTTCTTTTCTTTTCTTTTCTTTTCTTTTCTTTTCTTTTCTTTTCTTTTCTTTTCTCTCTTTCCAGGGATTAGACCTACGACCTTGCAGCTGACCTGCTGCATTTACAAATAGCATAACAGTCCCCTCAATAAAAGACCCTCATAGGCTGAACTCCCCCTGCAAAAGCCCCCTGGTCCTTGAGGCTACCAGCTTACCCAGAGGTGGCTCAGGCCTTAGAGTCCTCTCTGCTGAGCTCCTGCCCTAACGGACCACAAATCAGGCTCCCGCATTAAGGGCATCCAACCTTCACTGACGTGCACATTCACATCCTGGGTCCATCCACACACTGCATGTCTCTACCCAGTGATAAAAGGCATCTGGAACTTACTGTGTCCAAAACAGACTTCTTAAGCTCCCTTTCCTGACCTCCCCACAAATGTACTCCTCCTAGTTCTCCCTCATTCCGAGTGATGGCATCTTCTTTCTAGCTTCTCAAGCCAGAAAACCTTGGAGTTGACCTCGACTCCTCTTTTTCATACTTTGATGTCCATTGCTACTGCGAACTCTGTGGGTCGGAGACACCTCACCTCTCCCCACCTCCACGGGGCCTGGCCTGCTACCATCTCTCACCTGGATCACTGCACAATCTCTGAGGGTCGTCCCAAACTCTCCCCTTGCCTCTGAAGGTCAAGCTCTATGCAACTGCTAGAACTTTTGGGAATGAGTTCAGATCCTGTCCCTCTCTCTCGTGCTCCCATCTCATTCAGCATAAAACCGAATACATGCATCCTTTTGTGGACTTGCCTACACAAGCCCAACCAAACCTTATGGCCCCAGGGAGAGGGGAATCAGGCAAGGACAGAGGGGCTGGGTGAGAACAGGAGGGGCAAGTGGTGTGGCCGAAACAGCCCTGGGCTGGGAGTCAGCACCCAGAGTCCTAACCCCTGCTGTGCTGGTTTCAGGCTTTGGGATCATGGGCAAGTTCAATGGCGACATGGGGATGAACCCCAGGAAGAAGAAGGCAGGTCAGGAGAGGAGCTGGGGAGGGAGAAATGGAAGGAGGGGTACAAGATGAAGGGATTCAGTCTCTTAGGAGGAAAGAGGCCCCTCCCTCCACTGTAGGAGCACCTTAATACATCCTTCGGCCTTAAGGTGGTCATGTGAGGTACAGTGAGAGGGCACTCACACTTAGTTTGCATCTGTCTCCGGGGCAGAGGGGACTTGGGAGCAGCTGACCAGGGGAACCATACTTGGGTTGGCCCAAGGACTCTGCTCCTCTGGGGAATATCAGAGCAGGGGGGATTCCCCCCCAGAAACCTGTATGCCCAGGTGCCCTCTGGTAGAAGACCAGACACTCCTTAGATAATCTGATGAAAGCTGGATTCTCCCAGAAATAGGCACATACATGTAGCATTTTTAATTTCATGTGAAATTTATCATGCTTTTTAAAAAAAATTTTTATTTATTTATTTGACAGACAGATCACAAGTAGGCAGAGAAGCAGGCAGACAGAGGAGGAAGCAGGCTCCCCACTGAGCAGAGAGCCTGATGTGGGGTTCGATCCCAGGACCCTGGGATCATGACCTGAGCCAAAGGCAGAGGCTTTAACCCACTGAGCCTCCCAGGTACCCCCAAATTTATCATGCTTAAAGAAAAGTGTAGTAAGCAAGTAGGACCAGTTTCCAGTTTAGATAATATTAATGACATGAATGTGTAAGAACTCACCTCGTGGGGTAAGAAATAGAGCATTTCCTGTACCCTACCAGCCCTTGGGTCTCCCTCCCTCAACACACCCCTTCACCGCTCTCCCCAACTACAAGGTTATCACTACCCTGTGCTCAGCAACTAATCATTTCTTCATCTTCCTTTACCACCTATCAATACTTCTCTAACAATACATGATTTTGTCCTTCTTTGAACTTTATATAAAAGGAAACACACTACAGATAGTTTTGTGACTTCTTTGGCTGAATAGAATGTTTTGGGGACCCACCCAGGACGGTGGCATTCACTCATGTTCATGGCTGCATATATTCTTTCTATTTTATGAGTAATAACTAATTCATGTATTTATTCAATGGTTGAACAACATTTGGATTATTTCCAGTTATTTTATATTTGAACAACACCGCCAATAAAATTGCATACAGATAGTTCCTCTGCATGTAGGCAAGAGTTTCTAGAGCTTCTGTGCTTAGCAAATTGCTGGTTTGTAGGTATGTGTTTGGTTAGCTTTATCAAGGAATGTCAAACTCTTTTCTAAGACGGTCATACCAATTAAAACTCTCCCCCATAGAGTTATTTCTTCACTTCCAACTTCCTTAGATCTTTACATCTTCCCTAACGCTTGGTGTCATTTAAACTTTTAATTTTTGCTGCTCCTTTGGTTGTGACTTTAAGGTGGTTTTTCCTGACTTCTTGTGACACGGAGCACCTTTTCATATACATATTGGCCAACTGTATTTCTTTATCGCCTGTAAAATGGTAGTGTGTTATTTGTGAAATTTTAAAAAAAAATTTTTAATTTTAATTTTTTAATTTTTTAAAGATTTTATTTATTTGAGGGGGGCGCAGAGAGAGAGAGAGAGAGCAGGAGCAAGTGGGAGGGGCAGAAGGAGAGGGAGACTCAGACCCCCTGCTGAGCAAGGAGCCTGATGCAGGACTCGATCCTAGGACCCTGGGATCATGAGCTGAACCAAAGGCAGACACTTCACTGACTGAGCCACCCAGGTGCCCCTTGTTCAACTTTTCTTATTGCCCAGAATTTCTTAATATTCTGGGCATGAATATTTGTCAGTTATATTGCAAATATCTTTACTTGGTAGTATTATATCTTTTCTCTCTATATATCAATAAAGGTTATTCATTTTCATGTGATTTAGTGTGATCTTACTTTAACTTTTATTTGGCATATGTATTTATGCTTTGTTTAAGAAATCCTTCCCTACCTGATATTTTTCTAAATTACAACTTAAAACTTGACAGTTTTTCCCTTCATAGTTCGCTTCAAGGTTTTAACTAATGTTGCTTTCTAGATCCCAACTTTCAGTCATTAGATGAATAAGTTCTGGGGATCCAAAATACAGAAGGGTGGCCAGCATTAACAACGGTGTAATACATATTTGAAATTTGCAAGAAATAAAAAATTAAAAAAAATACATATTTGAAATTTGCTAAGGGAGTAGATCTTGTTCTCACACAAAAAGGAAACCCTCTGTGAGGTAATGGATATGTTAATTAACCTAATTATGATAACCATATCGGGATGTGTATGTATATCAAATGAACACATTATATACTTTCAATATGTACAATTTTGTCTATTATACTTCAACAAAGCTGGGAAAACAAATAGCGTTGATTTAAAACGTGTTTTTCTAACTGATGGGGCAAGATTCTCCAGCTCCTTTTCTTCAGGAGTGTCTTGGTGGGGGCACCTGGGTGGCTCAGTGGGTAAAGCCTCTGCCTTAGGCTTAGGTCATGATCTCAGGGTTCTGGGATCAAGCCCCACGTCGGGCACCCTGCTCACTGGGGAGTCTACTTCTCCTTCTTCCCCGCTTGTGTTTTCTCTTACTCTCTTTCTCTGAAATAAATAAATAAAATCTTTAAAAAAAAAAAAAAAGAAAGGAGTGTCTTGGCAATGTTATTCCTTACAAATTTCAGAATCAGCTTGCGGGGTTCCTTGAATATCCCATTGGAATTTCAGCTGTGATTACACTACATCTACAGATCAGTTTAGGGAGAACTGACACTTCTACTGTATTCAGTCTTTCTATCCAAGAACACAGCACATAGCTCCTTATATTTTCCATCTTTAGTAGACACAGCATTTTAAATAGAGCATAGCAGGACTTGCAGATTCTCGCATGAAACCCATCCCAGAATCCCTCAACATTACTGCCTGTTGGCCTCTCTGCTCTCTTTTCCAGTAATACATAAGAGCCCAATCTTGAAGCTACCTCCCACCTCCCTCCCGCTCCTCCTTCTGGCCCTCTGATATCCATTCCTGGGAAACTGACCAAGTTCAGCTTTTTCAGCAGCCTGGAGATGCCGAATAGTAAACTCTCTAAACTCACTGATTTAGGGCCCCATGACATGAACTCTAATCCTGGTTCCACCACTTACTGTCTGTGAGATCTTGGCCACGTTCCCCCGCTTCTCTGTGTGTCTCAGTTTCTTCATCTGTAAAATGGGTACGATGGTGAAGGCAACAGCGCCCGCCAACAGAATTGTCAAGGAGATTAAAGGAATAGAAATATGCAGAGCACTTGAGCAGTGTCTGTCACCGCATAATGGGTAATCTCTTCTTGTTGTTGTTTCAAAAAGTTTAATTTCTCTATGTCTGTGGGAGGTAAGGTTCTTCTCCAGAATTTTAAGTGAAATTTATCAGACTTCCCATTCCAGGACTAGGATGGCAGAGCAGATACAGGTTGATATAACAATTATGAGTACAGAGTGGGAAATTGTTTTTAGAAAGAGTTGGGTGGGTTCAAAGCCTGGCCTCACCCTGTGCGTGCTGAGGGACTTTGGTTTCTGAGCCTCAGTTTTTCCATCTGTAAAATGGAGGTGACACACCTGTACAGTAAGAGAACCAATGACAAGCACCTTGAGAACACTATTGGAAGAGACTTGTTTATCAGGATTCCGTGATGCCAGCTGTAGCCAGGTCCCCGAAGGTCACTGCTTCTTCCTAGAGGCTGATCCTCTCTGCCCCTTTCCCAGATCACAGATCACACTAGTCTAGCCGATTGCTCAAAGGACAGATTCCTTGGTCCCATCCCAGAAATTTGGATTCAGTCCATCTACAGTGGGGACCCGGGATCTGCATGTTTATAGCGTGTTTAATTCCTATTTTTAAAAAAATAGAATTCCAGCGCCAGTGGCATGTTTCATGACCACCGTCCCAGGCTGAGCGTGACCAGAGCCATACACACATAATTTGCCTGGCCCGAGTACCTTCTTTGTCTCACACTGGTACGCCTTCCTTTTGCTCCTGCCACACTTAGCAAACAGCACACAGCTGCTTCCTGCCAGAACTGCCTGTTCCCTGGGAGGGGTGGACGGGCGCCCTCTAGGGATGGAAGGGAGAAATGCTGCTTCATGCTCAGCTTTGGGGCGACAGTTATGGAATTACTAGGAAAGGCCACAAAGCTCCCAGAGCAGGTGGGATAGGGATGGGCAAGGGGACAGAGGTGGGAGCAGCACCCTCGTCAAAGTGGTCATTGTGAGGCCTCATCGTGGGGTTGTCCACAGCGAAGCTAAGGGCTCTGGTCCTTCTCTGCTTTTGTGCCCAGGAACCTGAAGACAGTTAGTGTTGGCAGTGCAGGCCATAGTCCATGCACAGAGCACACCTGTCCTCCTCCTTCTCTACCCTCTACCCCCAAGGTGAAAGCTGGAAGGTCTTAGGGAAAGGGCAGGGGAACTAGGGAGCCTGGCTCAGGGCGGTGATTTTCTCCCCCTCTTCATGGTAAATGCCATCACTGTCCCCTTCTAGTTTTTCTTTTTTAAAGATTTTATTTACTTATTTGAGAGAGAGAGAGAAAGAGAGCGCCCACGAGTCAGGGAGGGACAGAAGCAGAGGGACAAGCAGACGCCCTGCTGAGCAGGGAGCCCAGCAACACCCTGAGTCCCAGGACACTGAAATCATGACCTGACCTTGAACAACTGAGCCACCCTGCCCCCCTCCCCTTCTAGTTTTTTAGGAGATGGCCAATCCCTGGCCTCCAAAATACAATAAGCCAGCACAGGGACACTCAACTTTCACACTAACTGAGTGGGGCTTCAGATCCTGGCCCTGTTGCCCCCTCGCTGTGTCCCCATGGGCTGACATGCACCTGTCTTCTCTTCTACAATGGGGGCCATCATAGTATTTACCCCACAGGGTAGTTGAAAGGCATGACAGCATCAGGACGGTAAAGTCCATCAGCAGTGTCTGCATAGACTGAAGACACATGGGTACTTGCTCCAATTTGACAATCCTTCCTTCCCCAGGCATGCACTCGTCCAAAGTACCACATACTAGTTCGTATAATACTCGCCATCATTATCCCCATTTTTAATGCCCACGATGGTTAGAGGTCTTGTGCGTGGCCACATGGGGAGGATGGCACAGAAAATGGGATTTGAACCCAGGTCTGGGCTGGCTCCAAGGCACATGCTCTCGATCACTGTTCTTTCTGGTGGCTCAGCCTCTCTCTCTCTGGTCCCCCACCTTCTTCATCCTCCCCACCTCCTGGCTGCCCCCTCCCCATATGAGCTCCCCATCTCAGCAGGGCCTTGCCCCCTTCGAGACGCAGTCTGCACCCTAGCACTGTCCCTCATAGCCACTGTCTTCTCTAGTCCTTTTTCCCACCCCAGTCCCCGACTCCCACGCCACCCATCACCCTGTCTTTGTCCTGTTTTGCTTCTCTCCTCCCCTACTCCGTGCCCTTCCCACCTGTCCAAGCTACCCCTCCTTAGCGTTGTAGCCTGCTTACCTCCCCTCTTCCTGAGGCTCAAAGGACAACCCTCCCTTTGCTGCCTCTGTGCCCCCTCCCCTACTTCCCAAGTCACACAGGTCAGTGGCAGAACAAGAACCCAGACCCTGGCTCCTGACACAGGGTCCAGGGCTCTTCTCACAGCCCACAGCCCCTCTGTGGAGTGTTTATCAGACCGGACACACCCTGAGGGCTTGCGACAGGGGAAAGGGAAGCTGCGATGGGGACGCTGGCAAAGGAGGTCCAGACCGGCTGGATCCGGGTGCTGACAGAGTCCAAGAGAGGTCAGCATTAGGCCATTCTTTCTTGTTCCAAGGGGCACAAAAACATACCTGCTAACCCTACAATGTGCCACTCTCCCGGTGAGGTGACTCTGTGGCCCGTCCACACTGCCCACAGATAGGAGTGGGCTGTGGCTCTGTTCAGCCCCGACTCTGCCCCACCCCTCCCACTGAACCCCTTCCATGTGCGTGTGTGTCGGGGGTGAGCCAAGGTGATGGGGAAGGGACTTGCGAGGGCCTGAGCCGCTGGCCTCAAGGGGGGACATCCATGAGAGAGGGAAGCCTGTACTTCTGTGTAGTTCAAGGGCAGGGCCGAGCCCAAAACACCTGCTACGGGGCCTCCAATCCAGCTCACAGAGGCACAGGGGAGTGTGGAAGGCCGTGTCAGGGATGGACTCTGCCACTCTCTGAGGCCTGAGTCAGTGCTACCCTGGTCTGTGGCAACAAATCCCAGTGTGGGGCCTGTCAGCCTGACAGCTTTGCAAGCAGTCACGAGGCTGGGCAAGGGGCCACGGGAGGGGAGGACGCTCTTCCTTAAGGTTTTTCAAATTCCGCCAATCATGGCTAATCATTTTGCTAATAATAGGCCCTGTTTTTCTCCCTGTCCTCCACCCCACTCCTAACAGGACCTCCCCTCCCCCTCCCCAGCTCCCCAAAACACTTAGAGGCTAGAGCTTAGAGGGGCCTCCCCACCCCTTCCTGAAGCCGAGCAGCGGGGCTAGTCCATGAGAGGGCCTGTGGTTGAGGCCTGCACCAGCCCCGCTTTAAGGGACCTAGAATCAGATAGAGGGAGAGTCTGCCCCGATTTCCCTGTCCCTTTAACCTTGACTGTTGAAGAAGCAAGTTTCAGTCTGGTCTCATAGGTCTGATCCCCCTTTCACCAGAGGGAAGCTGGCTTTGGGGGGGGGTCATCCACTTGCCCAAAAAGTGTCCAATACAATTGAAGGACAGCATTTTCTTCTCACTTTACTTTTACATTTACCATCTAATTATGACACTGACCTTGGTTTTCCATTTATGACCATGATCTCAAGTTTCTCGAATTATTCATGACTTTTAACTCAAAGATTTTCAAAACTGTGGAATAGTTCAGCCTTTCATAAAAAGATAGACATCACCTAATAAACAGCTCACCAGCTTAAGAAACAAAAACACAAGCAATATGATTGAGGTCCCTGTGCATTCCTCCCCAGATGTGTCTCTGTCCTCCCTCCTCCCTGGCTAACCGCTGTCCTCACGTAATGCTGATTATTCCCAAGCACGGATCTGTGCTTTCACTGGGTAGACACACAGACAGATATAGAGATACAGAGATACATATGGGTCTACACACAAAGAGATACATATATCCCTAAAATTATAAATGTGTATTCCTAAAATGTTGTGTCTTGATAGCTGAACCTCTAACAATACAAATTTGTATTATCAGGGCCAGTTACCTGCAGATGGTTTTTTTTTTTTTAATTTCTTTTCAGTGTAACAGAATTCATTGTTTATGCACCACACCCAGTGTGCCATGCAATACGTGCCCTCCATAATACCCACCACCTGGCTCCCCCAACGTCCCACCCCCCTGCCCCTTCAAAACCCTCAGGTCGTTTTTAAGAGTCCATAGTCTCTCATGGTTCATCTCCTCGTCCAATTTCCCTCAACTCCCTTCTTCTCTCCATCTCCCCATGTCCTCCGTGTTATTTGTCACGCTCCGCAAATAAGTGAAACCATATGGTAATTGACTCTCTCTGCTTGGCTTATTTCACTCAGCATAATCTCTTCCAGTCCCGCCCATGTTGCTACAAAAGTTGGGTACTCATCCTTTCTGATGGAGGCATAGTACTCCATAGTGTATATGGACCACATCTTCCTTATCCATTCATCTGTTGAAGGGCATCTTGGTTCTTTCCACAGTTTGGCGCCTGTGGCCATTGCTGCTATGAACATTGGGGTACAGATGGCCCTTCTTTTCACTACATCTGTATCTTTGGGGTAAATATCCAGTAGTGCAACACCTGCAGATGTTTTTAAAACATTTCTGAGCCTCATTTTTTTTTTAAAGATTTTATTTATTTGACAGAAGGAGACACAGCAAGAGAAGGAACACAAGCGGGGGAGTTGGAGAGGGAGAAGCAGGCTTCCCCTGAGCAGGGAGCCCGATGCGGGGCTGATCTCAGGACCCCAGGATCATGACCTGAGCCAAAGGTAGACGCTTAACCGACTGAGCCACCCAGACGCCCCATCCTGCAGATATTTTGTAGTACAGTTCTGTGAATATTTTTTTCTTCCTTAGAATTTTCTTAAAAACACATTCTTTTCTCTAGCTTGCTTTATTGTAAGAATACAGTCTAGAAAACCTATACCATACGAAACATGTCTTAGTCGACTATTGATGGGATCAGTAATGCTTCTGATCCACACTTGGCTATTAGTGTTGGTCAAGGTCAACCGTCTTTCTGTGTGTGCCTGCGAGGC